ATGAGTGGTGCCACTCTCATTTCCAGGCCTTGATTCCTGTACCCATGAATCCTGGCTATGGGAGAAACAGCATCATGTATCGGACATGAATTCAAAGCAGAGCCTTCTAGGGAAACTTACCCCAGCCCTGCAAGGTATTAACAACCAGCTGATGGCGTAACTGAGCCTTCAACAGGCCATTCTGCCATTCTCTCAAACCAGCTGCTTTAAGATGATGAGGAAAATGGTGGTATCAGGGAATTTCATGAACATGGGCCCATTGCTGTACTTCTTTTTCTGTGAAGTGAGCTCCTTCGTCAAATCTTTCTATTCTTTTAGAATAAAAAGACGAGGAATGCAAGAATATATGTGTAAAATGTTAATTTTAGATAGTTTGAATAAAGTACTTGAAAAATATAGCCATTAAAATTAAAATATTATTGACATGTAGAGATTTCTAAGATGTAATTTAAGTTAAAAAGGCAAATCTTATTTATGATCTGATTTTATAATAATCAATGATGGACAAACTTTTTGCATTTATGTGAAAAGATACGGTTCAAAAAAGAGGAAGCATTTGATCTTTCAGAAATATATGTTGAATAGTTAAAAGAAAAATATCAGTCTTTCTTTTATGTATCTTACAGTTCAGTGAGCACGGTAAAGAACTACATCGAATGTGGTAAGTATCATGATAGGGAGTGAGGTGCACTATGTGATTACACAGCAGGCTCATTCATTCTAATCTAGTGAGTCAGGAAAGGTATCCCTAAGGAGGAAATTTAAAAATGAGATAAGACAAATATTTAGTTAGGGGAAAATCCGAAGAGGAAGGAAAGGTGTTAAAAGGTGAGAAAAACAGATGCAAACATCAGGAGTGAAAGCTGGAACAGGTCTTCTGAGACATATAATGAAAAGCAGGCAAGAGAAATCAAAACTATTGGTATGTATAGAATGCATAGCAAAGGGGAAAGAACAGAGATGCATCTGGAATCAAGAGCCAAATTATCAAAGATGTATAAATAAGGTTATGGATTTCAAGCAATTACCATAACAATAAAAGGAAAGATTCTTTTTAAAAATAATATCCTCTTTTAATAGAAGAGGTACAGA